CTCCCCTTGGATATGGCGAATTAGTACGTCCATCGCCAGGGCAAACAAAAAAGAGCTGAGTGTCGACCCCTGATGCAACCCCATCATGATCGAGAAATGATCAGAGACCCCTTCCACTGTCATCACACATGTCTTCGCTCCCTCATACATGTCTTTAATCACCCTAATGTAGGCCACATATACCCCTCTAGCCTCCAAACATCTCCACAGAATCCCCCCCTCCCCCTCGGGACTTTAATGTAAGCCTTTTCTAAATCGATGAACATCATATGCAAGTCCCTCTTCCTCTCCCTATATTGGTCCATCAATCTCCTAATAAGGTGAATGGCTTTCGTAGTCGAACGCCCCAGCATAAATCCAAACTAGTTCTCGAAAATAAACACCCTTCTCCTTACCCTTAGCTCCACCACCCTCTCCCACACCTTCATAGTATGACTAAGTAGCTTAATACCCTGATAGTTGTTATAATTTTGGATATCACCCTTATTCTTGTACAAAGGAACCATCGTGATCCATTTCTACTCTTCGGGCATATTTTTCGTCCTGAAAATGACATTGAATAACCTAAGCCACTCCAAGCCCGCCCTGCCCACACTCTTCCAAAACTCCATCGGGATTTTATCTGGCCCGGTTACTCTGCTCCTGCTCATCTTACGCATAGTCCACACAACCTTCTCAACTCTAATCCGTCTGCAATACCCAAAGTCACAACGACTCTCGGAGGATCCCAAATCACCCAAATAATATTGGTGTTCCCATCCTCATTCAAGAGACTATGGAAGTAAGTCTGCCATCTCCGGCGGATATGCACCTCATCCAACAAAACTCTACCTTCTTCGTCCTTGATGCACTTCACTTGGTCCAAGTCATGGGCCTTTCTCTCTCTCACCTTGGATAGCCTAAACAACCTCTTATCCCCGCCTTTACCTTCAAGTTCTTCATATAAACGACTAAATGTTGCAGTCTTATCCGCCATAACTGCTAACTTTGCCTCCTTCCTAGCCAAATTATATCGCTTTCTATTCGACTCTTCTCCTCCTCGTCAATGCTTTCCACTAGTTTCAGATACACCACTTTCTTGGTGTTTGCCTTTCTTTGGACCTCTCCATTCCAACACCAGTCTCCGTTGCGACCACCATTGTAACCTTTTAAGACCCCTAGAACCTCTCTGGTAGTTTTCTTAATGCACTGCGCCATCGTGGTCCACATCAGGCTCGCATCCCCATTACTCCTCCAAGCTCTCACAGTCAACAACTTAACCCCCAACTCCTGCGCTTTGTCTTCAGTCAAGGCTCCCCACATGATCCTAGGTTGTTCATACACCACCCTCTTCCTTTTTTTCCTCGTGATCTCAAAGTCTATGACCAGGAGCCTATGAAGGGTCATGAAGTTCTCACTCGGGATGACCTTGCAATCCGTATAAAGACCTTTATCGGACCTCCTGCAGAGAAGATAGTCAATCTGGGTCCTGGCCACCGAGCTCCGGAATATGACCAAGTGTTCCATCTTCTTCGAAAAATTCGAGTTTGCTATCACCAAATCAAACGCTCTAGAAAAATCCAACAGTGAAGCTCCCCCTCCATTTTTATCTCCAAAACCGAAATCACCATGTACATCATCATAGCCCTTAGACGTCGCTCCAATGTGGCAGTTGAAATCTCATCCAATAAAAAGCTTCTCAGTGGGCGGTATACCGCACACCATCTCATTTAAATCCTCCCATAAATGCCTCTTGACTTCCTCATCCAATCCTGCCTCGGGTGCATACGCACTGATTATGTTCAAAGTAAATCCACCAACAACTAGCTTAATACTCACCAGTCTGTCGCTCACTCTCCTAACCTCTATCACTAAATTTCGGAAGTCCTTATCAACCAAAATACCAACCTCGTTCCTGCCCCTTGGTCCCAAAAAACCATAGTTTAAACCCGTCCGCATCCCGCGCCCTATCTCCTACCCATCTAGTCTCATGTACACAAGCTATATTAATCTTCCTCTTTCAGATAATCTTCGCTAACTCAATAGACTTTCCAGTCAAAGTTCCTATGTTCCAAGACCCAACTCTCAACCTGGTGGCTCCCTTAGCCCTCTTACCCACTTGCCCCCGCACCCAAACCCCCGCAAACAGCAACATACAATGACATATAAGAGTCAAAAGTACAACGCACTGATCCTGATTGAAGTAATACTTATTGGGCTAGTTTACTTACTCAACAAAGGCTAAGTAAGTAATAATAAAAATTAATAGAGTGACAAGAATGTCAAGATCGCGACTTTTCATTAATTGTTAATAAGTTTGTGCAATTATGGTCCAATTAGATCCCTAGAGGGCCACTTCATTTCGCTACTACTCTATTGTTGGCTAAATATTACAACCATGTCTAGTCTTTGCATTTCTAAAATAATATTGTATAGACGCTCTCAAAGTAATAGCCGAACATGTATACTTTTTTTTAATATTCTTTTGTATATATAAATATTTTGTATGTTATATAAAAAAATTATACAAATTTTATATACTTTTTCGACTACCGAATATAAATAAGTTCTGACACAGACTAAAAATAATAATACTCCAAATAATATTGTCTCTCATCCCTTTAAATTGATCGCCCATAACAAATGATTTTTTCCACTATAAAACATTACCACCTAAAGATTACTCTACCAACACTTCACCCCTATGACGCACAGAAAAAAAAACACAAGAAAATTCCAGAAAAATAGTCTATTAAATGTGAAGTCTTTGTTTCTAAACAGGAAAAACATAGGTTGAACCAAGAGACTTAGAGGAGCCTTAGATGAAACAGTCCAGATGAAACAGTCCAGTCCATTAGTGATATTGTTTTCCCTGGGCTTATGTCCGCAAGGCTTTAAAATGCGTCATTAGTTGAGGTTTTTCTACTAGCATTCAAGGTTGCACGCGGAGTAGCTTTGGTACCATATGTAATAACCTCGTCCACTAATGATATTGTCTGATTTGGGCCTAAATCGATCCGCACGACTTTAAAACGCATCATCAGGGTTTAAGGCTAGTTACTTATATGCCTAATATCTCTCACATGTTTTGTCCATGTGGAATTTACATGGAGTATTACATTATATCATATCTAAAGTAACATTGAGATTTGAAAAAAGAAAAAAAAAACTATTCCAAAAGAAAGGACAAAGAAAAAATGCAATAAAAGTAAGTTCGAAAAATGGTTGTAACTGGATCAATTGATATGTTTGAGTCTAAATCAAAGTTGTTCACCAATCAGCAGAACTCACAAACACATTTTGATGACAACTTATAAGGAATGGATATGTATATTTTTTCTCTTCGTTCCTTCTCAAAAAGGTTTTCATTTATGAATAAGACCATCTGGATGTCTGACTTGAGGATTGCATTCGTCCGTAACTAATTATAACAGGTAAAGATCGTTTTTAGCCCGTGGCTAGCCGCAAAAATTATAAAAGTTATATATATTTTTTTTTGTATATAACGTATATATATATATATNAATTATAATTATTTTTTAAAAAACATTCATGTGACTTGAGAGAATGATTAGGAAATTCAAGAAAATAATATTAATGTGGTTTCGACTCATGATGATACAATCAGTATTTTAAAAGGCGGGGCATTTTACTTAATGTGGGGCGAGGCGTAAGCCCCGAGGTATAGGGCGTAAGCCCCATGGATCTTTAATTTTTTGATTTATAAATTAATAAATAGCATAATATAAAGTACATTAAAAGTTTAAAAAAATTTAAAAGATTAGAATAACTCATAAAAAATAAAATATCTAGCATTTTTTTATAATTATAAAAAATGCAAATGTTCAAGTTATTATGAGTTAAAAATAAACTATAACATCTTATCTTTCAATCAATTAAAAAATCACAATAAAAAATATTATCAAACTACACAGTTTATCACCCTAAAAGTTAATAATTAGGAAACTTCATTAGTACTATAATTTAAATCATTACTTCTTATGAATAAATATAAAATTGCTTACAAATAGTAAAATAATAAAAGTTTGATAATTTTCAGAGACAGAACTAAGATATGACGAGCTACAAAAATGAAGATATAAATTTGGGCTATTTATTTTCAGTAGAAATATTCATTTGATATTCACCCTACTTATATGTAAATATTTAATACTATGACTCCTTATTTTGAATTACTCTCAATCTTCATATTTAGATTTGATGAATAGTACTTTAGTCGTTTATTTGTTAAGGAATTTTGAGTGTCGACAAAGCTAATTAGGGAATACGACGCATGATTTATATTAGGAACTGTTAGGAGAGCCCCGAGCACTGAGCATTGGGTGTATTTCGGGTGCTTAGTCGGACGCTTGGGGCGTAAGCCTCACATAACTAAGCCCCACACGTGAGCCTCAGGGCGTTTTAGTAGTGCCTCGTCCAGGAGCGAGCCCCGAGGCGAGTCCCAAAAAAGCCTTTTAAAACAGTGGATACAACCATCTATTAATAAAGTCAAGTGGTCCTAGCTACTACTTGCAATGAAATCATTTCAGCACAGCAGAATTGGCAGGAAATTCATAAAGATTTTGAATAGCACAAGTGATTATTTGCATTTTTGGTACGTAAATTTCGCCATCATATTTAGTTATATACTCCCCACTATATATATGTATCTATCATCAAGTCATCTCCATTCAATCCAAAAATCCTACTTGAGAAATACCATCCTCAGAATTGTCTTTCACAATTCTAATCACGAAGGGAAAATAGAAAGGAAAAACTACTAGTAGTAATAAACTAATAAAACATAAATGGATGAATGAGGTTTAGATATATCCATAATATAGTCATAGTCGAAGCTCATGCAAAATATTGTTTCCTTATTTGTTCTTTGTGGTTATGTCACATAAAGCCCGAAAGAGCGCGTATTACTTCTCTTTCCTCGCCCTTTATAATATGAAATTTTTCTAAAGTAATATATGAAAATCTTTTTCGAAAGCTTGTCAGCCTAACAGAATGCTTGTTGTTATTCTTGACTTAGGCAAATTTCTTATCGAACTTATATACATCTTTTTTGTGTGTCAATGTTTCCACCAAAAAAAAAATTGACCAACTAAATCTCAAGTTACACCTATGTTTCCTTTTGTGCTAGCTAGCAGCCAAAAAAACAAATCAATTTTTTCTTTCATCCCAAGGAATAGAAAGAACAAATCACCTATACCTAGTAATTAACTATGATTGTGATAATAGAGATCGAGCAAAGGCTGTAACATGTTTAGATTCAGAAAGCCAACAACTTTGAATGTCATCTGCAATTCTCTTGGCATCCATTGATGCTCCTAGCAATCCACGTTTTGTGAATCCCACTGCATAGAGTCCACTCTCCCCTTTCCAACCATTAGGAAATGGCCTTTTTGGAAGCCCATCTTTCTCTGAAAACATCTCTCTTTCCTGCAAAGGAAAAAATATCAGGTAAATCTCCTTTTGTTGAACACTTCCTTAAACATCAAGAAACTAATAATTGAAGGGCAATGAAAGTGAGTACCTTTAGCCAAGAGGGTACATTGCTTTTGTAACCAGTGGCTAAGATTATTGCATCAAATTTTTCTGCTTTCCCATTCACAAATTCCACCGTGTGATGCTTTAATCTCCTAATTCCAGGACATACCTGCACAATATGAAAAATATTATTACTCAATATTTTTTTCTATTTTAGAGATTTATATATGTGCAGAAAAATAGTGTCAGAACAACAAACAACAAAAATCCAATAAAATCTCACGAGTGATGTCTGGGGATAATGTGCAAGTAAACCTTGCCCCTACCTTAAAAGGTATAAAGACCGTTTCCGGTAGAAAAATGGTGTAAATGCATTATATATGCATTTTCTTGAAAATTGAAAAGGTAAATGCTTGAATAGTGAATGTAGGGACAGAAGTAAGGAAATTTTGTTATACTGTTTATGGAATATTTGCAATGATGAGGATGAAAGAAAAATAAAAAGACAACCCGGTATTCTAAATTCCCGTTATTCGCAGCGTCAAGAAAAAAGCCACGACAAACACTAAAAATGGTATGAAACGAAATGAAAGACAGATGACAAGAAAGGTGCAAAATTGCATAGACAAGTATGTTACCTTAATGTCTCCACTTTTAATCTTAGCAAGTGTGCCAACGTCGAGCACCGGTGTCTTTCCGGACAAGTTTTTGAGCTCCAGAGGCCCGGTTTGCGGCCGGTCAAGGCCGAGCCGCGACGTATCCCCGAGCATTAGCCTGGAAACCATTAGCAGAAATCCATCGACAAGCCTCATGGGCAACCACTTTAGTAACCACATGGACATCCCAAAAGTTGATTTCCCCAGCATCTCTTGTGGTAGGATGTGCACCTGAAAGATGTCAAGAAAAAATGCATTTTATTACCATTAACTTAATTAAATAAGGAAAAGGTTTTCTTTACAGTAAAAATTACACTGGACTTAAAGTTATATTTTATAATGAAAGTAATTAAAATCCCACCAATCTCGCGCATGCTTGGGAGTTCCAAGAAAGTGAAAAATACTCCTAGGTGGGTTCAGCTATTCTTTTTTGTTTAATTCCTCAACTTCAGTAGTTTTACTTCCTCCTATCGTCCATTTTTTGTTGTTTTCACGCATATTAAAAAATTTACCAAATAGTATTAATTAATAATAAAATTGACCATATTAACCGTAATTTATTCATTTGAAATATAATAAATACTCCTAAACACTTTACTTCAAGTGCAACTTTCGAAAAAAGAAGTTAATTCTTTTTTGATATTTGAAAAAATCAAATATTATGAACCACAAAAAATGTCAAAATATCCCTTAGAGTAGACACTTGAACTCATGGACATTTTTAAAATTAACTTTTTTTTGAAACATTTAAAGTACAGTAAATGTTTAGAAATCCTAAACTAGGGTTTTTCATAGTTCTCCACAGAATTTGGAATCTTCTACGTACCCAAGATTTTATAACTGCATTGAAATATTTGCAAAAAATGAGAAAAGTCTCATATTTAGGTTTTGCTTTTCCTCCCATGAAATTGACAGAAAATTAGGATCAGTGGAAAACCTTTGCCCCTAATTTTAAATCAACATTCAAAAGTTGAAGGCACAAAGAAAAAAAGATAAATATAATTTTTATACTATGCTACATAAATAATTTGCTTTAATGTCCCAATAAGGTTAAAACGAAATTAAACTTGTTTTTATTTTTAACTTTTTTCACCGAAAGCAAAGTGAGTAGCAAAAATATACTTACAGCATGTCTAACCACAATAGAAGGAGTAGCATTATGATTACAGAGATCCAAACACACTTCCATTCCTGAATTCCCACAGCCAACTACCAACACTTTTTTCCCTCTAAATATTTCACCACTTTTATACAAACACGTATGCATTATACTCTCACTGAACTCCTCCATTCCTTCAATCCCCGGCACCACCGCCTCCGCATTCTCTCCCGTCGCCGCCACCAGCCACCGGCATACATACTCCGTTGCCGCCGTCTTCACCCGCCAAAACCCAAGATTCCGATCATACTCAGCACTAACCACCGTTTGATTAAAAACGGGGTTAACATCAAACGTCTTGGCATAATTCTCCAAGTAGTTAATAAATTGTTGCTTAGTAGGGTACGTTGGAAAATCATTAGGAAATGACATAAGGGGAAGTTCACAAAATTGCTTTGGCAAATGAAGGTGGAGACGATCATAAGTCTTGAGTTGCCACAAGGAAGCTATACAATTGGATCTTTCTAGAACAACACTCGGAACTCCTTTTGATTTCAAACAAGCGGCTACTGCTAGACCTGATGGTCCTCCTCCCACTATCACCGGCCCCGGAACATATACACATTTCTCTATTTTTTTCTCGTGAAAATTATAACAACGATCATGAGCTCTTTTACCTTCTATTTCTCTCAAGTAGTCCATGAATATTACTATATCGTCGTCGTCGTACCTGCAACGGTACGAGCTGAAAGCAATAAGTTTAGTTGAATCCTTAAATGGTAGATGGAGAGTGGAAAGAGAAAGAGAGAGTTTAGGGGATAGTTAGTTATTCAAATATTATCCAGAAGAAGGAGACTTATATATAAGAATCCCAGAAGAAGTGGAGTGAATCAAGTGTGATTATATTCTTATCCACTTGGTTGGAATAAATCCTCAGTTAATGAAAACCTAAGTTGTGAAATTGTGTAGAAATATATTTTCTTTTTGTCCCTAGGAGGCACGAGAAGAAGAGAGAATTGAATTGAATTGAATTGAATGACTGAATTCAATTCAAGACAATTCAACTACTAATATACCACACACTAGAAGAAGGTTTGAGCAGTACATCAAGTAATGGAAGTGGGACACACACACAATATATATATATATATATATATATATATATATATATATATATATATATGATTTTATTGGCTATTTTCACATATAATAAAAAATTCACATTTTAACATTAATTAGCAATAAAATAGACCATATTAACCTTAATTTGTTCATTGAAAATATAACAGATACTCTATGACTCTTTATTGCAATGGTAACTTAGAAAAAAGTAGTTTCTTCTTGATATATATAAAAAATCAAATATGATGGACCATAAAAGAAGGCCAAAAATCAATTAAAGTGAACGAGAGAGAGTATACTTTAGTGTATATAGATTAATTAAGCCAGACAAGAAAAAAAATAGTTTTCTTTCTCTGTTTAAGTAGCAATATAAAATTTTAAAAGCAAAAATAGATGTCACGTTTCAATTTAATAAACTTCCCTATATTAATTAAATCACACAGAGAGCTGAGGGGACGTACATATAGTGTTTGATTAATAATAAAATTCTTAAACAAGTTGGGTACTTTAAACAAATTCCTATAATTATCTTAAATAGGGATAAGATAAAGAATATATCCGTTATCTTTAATAGAAAAAAATTGATTTTTATTAGGACTTTATAGAGTGGAATATAATCAATATATAGTTGGGTGTGGTTTTCATTGATTAAAAGTGGTAGTTATGGTTGGCACTGGGTCGGTCTATGCAAGATTGGGCCGGGTGGAACCAGAATAGGTATACTTATTAATAAAATTATCATCCACTTTTAACCCTCATAATCCTTTTTCTCTTTAAACCTAAAGGCACTATCAAATGTTTGGTAATTTAAACCAACTTACTCTTTTTTGTATGTTTTATTTCCTTCTTTTAATTGCTATCATAACTATTTACAAAGCAAAATCTAGTTACTCATATCATGATGCCCGAAGGTTGCTAGAGTGGTGGCAAATGAGAGGGCGCACGTCTTTGGATCGCTTGTTAATATTTAACTATCATTTAAAATACAATTGAAATATAATCAATTCTTATAGCGAAAAATAAAATTTAGATAAAAATATTCGCAATTAAAACATGAAAGAATTTCAACACACTGTGCTGGCGTTCGAAAAAATTCCGGAGTTCCAAATGTGTAGTTCACCGGGAAAATTCATGTTCAAACTGTAGGAAAAACTCATGGCATTTGAACCTTTATTAGTTCAAACTCATGACATTGAAATTTTATTCAAATTATTTGGAATAAAAAATACAAATTGCTACAAAATTGAGTCACATGATAAGGTACTATTTTGTGTTTCTTTAAGGGTGCAAGGTAGTACCCAACTTTGGTGGTAAAATTAGTGATTTAGTATATGAAAGTAATACATTCTGTTTTAATTGATGTGATGTATTTTTTTTAGTTTATCCAAAAAAAATATTTTTTATATTTAAAAATAGTTTAACTTTAAAGTTTTTATTTAATTCTTAATGTAATAATTTATAATTACAAATATTTATGACTTGTTTTAAATTACCAATTTTAAAAGTCTTCCTTAAATTTCATATTCAATCAAAATGCATCACATAATTGTTATAATAAGAAATTTATATGAGACTAATAATGAAGGGTGACAAGATTGACAAAAGTTTTTTTTTTTTGCCATATAGGATTTTTATGGCATCTTGTTTATAGGATTAAAATAGGTCTAAGAGCCCCATGTCGCTAATAAGATCGAAATAATCAGTGTCATGCGGAAGCTAGTAAAGCAAACTTTGAACAATGATAAATCAGACAATAAAAGAGAAATATACCAAAAGAGACACAAATATTTAACGTGGTTCGGTCAATTGACCTACATCCATAGATGAAGATGAGCAATCCACTATATAAAAGAGAGTACAAAATATCGAGAGAACAACCTCACAAAGAGGCAAACACAAGTGACACACTAACATTTGTCCCGAAAAGTTCTCCTCCTAAACAAGACTCTCAAACCCCATATGGCCGCGTTGTGGATGCTACTGAATGAGAAGGAAAGATCCTCAATTTATAGAAGTACAAAACTTTTTCTTTCAAGAAAAAGGACTAGTCAAATATGGGAGATTTATAATTTTCTTCTACAAAAAGAAAAATATAATTATGGTAAACATGTTGCCCTTTCCTTCAAGAGATAGGAAAACTAAATATGGTAAGAAAATTAGGATAAAAACCTAACAACTTTCCCTCTTGACCTGAATTATCTTACAAAATAAATTTGATTCACCTTCTTCATATAGGCTTCAGCAGGTCGCATCTCCAAATCTCCACCATAAAGTTTGTCTCAACGTGAGTAGTATTCCGGTCAAATTCCTCAAATAAAAATTATGATTACTGTCAAATAGGTTGAGACTAGAACTAAAGCCGCCAAGATGAACTTATCTTGAACCCCGCTCTGATGCCACTTGTTAGGATCGAAATAATCAGGTGTCATGCAGAAGCTAGTGAAGCAAACCTTAAATAATGATAAATCAGACAACAAAGAAAAAATATACCAAAAGAATTAGAAATATTTAACATGGTTGGATCAATTAACCTACATCCATAGATGGAAATGAGCAATCCACTATATAAAAGAGAGTACAAAATATCGAGAGAACAACCTCACAAAGAGGCAAACACAAGTGGCACACTAACACTTGTCCCCAAAAGTTCTCCCTCTAAAGGAGACAACGATAAATCAGACAACAAAAGAGAAATATACCAAAAGAAATAGAAATATTTAACATGGTTGGGTCAATTAACCTACATACATAGATGGAGATGAGCAATCCACTATATAAAAGAGAGTACAAAATATCGAGAGAACAACCTCACAAAGAGGCAAACACAAGTGGCACACTAACACTTGTCCCCAAAAGTTTCCATAGATGGAGATGAACAATTCACTATATAAAAGAGAGTACAAAATATCGAGAGAACAACCTCACAAAGAGGCAAACACAAGTGGCACACTAACACTTGTCCCCAAAAGTTTCCATAGATGGAGATGAACAATTCACTATATAAAAGAGAGTACAAAATATCGAGATAACAACCAGACAAAGAGGCAAACACAAGTGGCACACTAACACTTGTCCCCAAAAGTTCTCCCTCTAAAGCAAACCTTGAACAACGATAAATCAGACAACAAAAGAGAAATATACCAAAAGAGATAGAAATATTTAACATGGTTGGGTTAATTAACCTACATCCATAGATGGAGATGAGCAATCCACTATACAAAAAAGAGTATAAAATATCGAGAGAACAACCTCACAAAGAGGCAAACACAAGTGGTACACTAACACTTGTCCCCAAAAGTTCTCCCTCTAAACAAGATTCTCAAACCCCATATGGCTATATTATGGATGCTACTGAATGAGAAGGAATGATCATCAATTTATAGAAGTACAAATCATTTTCCTCCAAGAAAAATGACTAGTCAAATATGAGAGATTTATAATTTTCTTCTAGGAAAAGAAAAATCTAATTATGGTAAACATGTTGCCCTTCTTTCAAGAGATAGAAAAATCAAATATGGTAAGAAAATCAGGACAAATACCTAACAGTCATCGGTCGTTAGTTTGGAGGCAATTGTGGTCCAAAAAATAGACAGCAAGGATATATTTAGTACCAAAAGCTAACAAAGGGTACAATTGAGCTATTTTTATTAGTTTAAGGGCAATTTTGGCGCTTTACTATTAAATAAGAAACTTTTCCATTTTTTTAGGTCATTGTAAAGCTAATTAGCGTTACTTTCCAATTTGTTCATAGGGCATATGTTAGTGAACTAAAAATTTCTTTTATACAATGGGTAGGAGCTTCAATTCTTTCATCCAAAAAACAAAGTTAGGTAACACATATATCTAACATGAAGATAATCTACGAACGTATATACTCCTAATAAATTTAGAGTTTTACACTATTAGGTTACTTTAGAAATCAATTATTAGTAACTTTTGACAGCATATATACATAATAGTCCGACTGTGAAAGCAACCGTGAGTACAATTCGGTTTGCTCTGTTGATTCTTCTTTTTTGGATTGTTTTCTTTGATCAAGTGATAGATCAGTATGTTTCTCGAGTGTAGGGTAATGCAGACCTCCTTAAGATGTATTTGTTCTCCAGTGTGGATCTTCTCGAAGTATTTAATTTGATTATCAAGAATCAAGAAGCATCCAACTATATTTCGAGTTGATCATAAAAAAAATCTCTGGATCACTTTATTCGGCTTTGAAAAAGACATTATTTTATGTCTTGACATCTTTGTGAATATTCTAAGTTTATGGAACTTTTGAGATGATGTATATGAGTTGATCTTAAAATTTAGATTTATGCAAACTATATGATATGGCACATTAGTCTGGTTAAGCTTTAATAAAAGAAGGTGTGGTTTCCAGAAAAGAAACGCAAATAAGGAAACAAGAAGAAGAGGGGATATCCCCACTAATGATTGGAAAATATCAGCAACAGCTCAATTGAAAGTGAAGTCTGTATGAGGCAATCCATCCCGATTTACACTCACCTTAATTGTGGTTTGGTTAGTATTGCTTATCTTTTCATTAGGGTATAGTAGTAGGTTTGGTTCATAGCCATGTCCTAAAGTACCCTAGCTATGATCTGCTCTATTTATTCAACAATAACCTAGTATAATCCCACTAGTGGGATCTGGGGAGGGTAGTGTGTATGCAGACCTTACCCCTCCCATGAGGTAGAGAGGCTGTTTCCAATAGAAACTCGGCATCATTCCCTCCAAGAACTCCCCACCTTGCACTTGGGGTGACTCGAACTTACAACCTTTTGATGTCCCATAAATCTTTGTTTTTTCGATTAATTAATCATATGATATTCGAAACTTGACAGATTCGACTAACTCAAACTCGCACCTCATCAGACTCTATTAAAGGAAAAGTACTCCTTG